TGCTGTGCCACCGTATCACTCAGTACGCTCGGCAGAGCTACCGCCTATCGTCAGCTTCGATCGCTATACGCCAGGTCGCTTTGATGACGCCAAGAAGAGCGCTGCGCAAGAAATCGGGGAAAAGCAAAGTATGAATAGTAGCAGCAATGCATCTCAGACCAGTACCACGCGTAAAATTTCACCCGGTGAGATTGGACAAACCAAATTCTCTGGCGCTATGCATGGGAATCTCGCAAAAGCCCGGCAAATGTCTATCGCGAGTTTGTGCAGTACGGATGATAGCAGTAGCAGTGATGCTGTCATGCACGGAACGCGACCTTTGCAGTTTGGTCATCACATGCAACAGCATGAAAGTATCTTTGCGCGAGAGAGGCAATTGGAACAAATGCGTGCTGCTACGATTGGGTCACCGGCGTCACGACCAAGCAATAACCAAACTATGCAAGTCCTCTCAGAAAGTGCTGCGACGGCGGCGACTTGAATGCTTTCAACAACTCCTCTACAGAGAAACAAAGCAGGACAAAAGCACAGCAATAGGGGAATCATCGGTATTGCTATAGCGTATCATATTGCACAGCATAGCCAGTCTTTGCTATTGTCTCATTTTGTCTTTTTCTCTGTAAATGCCCATGCACGCGCTTGTATAAACTGAGTTACTTGAATCAAGCAGCCTGACGATGCTGCTGCTGTTGTTGCTGTTGCTGCTGCTCCTGCACTTGGAATGCATGGAGCTGCTGTTGCATCAAATACTGTTCCTGCTGCTGTTGTTGCTGTTGCTGAAGCTGCTGTCCCTGCACGCCGTGATAATTAATCTCCTCAAAGATGAGCTGCTTCAAGTGCTCCTTTGACATCTGATCCTTGTACTTGTCAAAGTCAAAGAACGACTCTGGAATGACCGGAGCTCCGGGCTCATCCTCCAAGTCATGGTATGGCTCGAGGTACGGATGGCACAGAGCTTCCTCACACGTAATCCGCTTGAGTGGGTTAAAGGCAAGTAGCTTCTCAAGCAAATCCACAGCGAGTGGATTGGCATTCGGGAACATGGCTGCAAAGTGAATCTTCTTCTTGAAGGGAAGCGCCCGGATGTACTCTCGTGCACGACGACTCTTGATGCCATAGTAATCTTCCATGGTAGGCGTACCAAGGATATCAAGAATCAGGGTGAGCTGATGATGATAGTCCTTTCCCGGGAAGAGTGGCTTCCCACTCAACATCTCTGCCAAGATACAACCCACACTCCACACATCAATTGCTTTCGTGTACTCTTTGAACGTGAGCATAATCTCTGGCGCCCGGTACCACCGCGTGGCGACATACTCCGTCATGAAACCAGCATTATCATCTTGACTAGCGGCTGACCGCGCAAGACCCAAGTCGCAGACTTTGAGGTCGCAGTTGGCATTCAAGAGCAAGTTGGAAGGTTTCAGGTCGCGGTGCAGGACATTGGCACAGTGTAGTGCTTTAAGACCGCGGAGCGTTTGGTAGATGAAGTACTGGCAGTGGTCATCCGACAAGTCTTGTGTACGAATGACACGGTGCATGTCCGTCTCCATGAGCTCTTGGATCAAGTAGACTTCCGTGAAGGATTCAAAGTCTGCAGGCTTCTGTACATCTAGGATGGAGATGATCTAACAGGTCAGTATAGCACATTAGCAAGACAAGGCGACATACATTCTCGTGATTGAAGTAGCGCAACAGCTTCATCTCACGCAGCGTTCGTAGACAAAACATGCTGTGATCAAAAGGTGTGATCTTCTTGATGGCTACCTTTTGCCCCGACGGCTTGTGTAGCGCCGAGCTAGTCTGTGTTAGCAGCTGAACCACACAGATCATCGTGTCGCATACCATACAACGCCATAGGCGCCTTCTCCAATTACATCAATAATCTCATAGTGATCAGAGACGTTGAAGTTGACCTTGCGCGCCGGCTTGCCATGAGACATCCTTGAATGCTGGGCAGAAGGTTGTATGAAGGCAGTGAGTAGGCCGCGTTGCCGATGGAAGTGACCTGGCTTTCAGTGAAAGGGGGGACACGCGATGAGGCCTGAGTGTGTGAAGGGTGAGAGGAGGACGTGAGCTTGTGTGAGACGGTGGGCGCTTTGATGATGGACCTGTGTGCAAGGGCCTTGATATCTGCGGCCTGTGCTTGCCTGCTCCTTGCTTGCTTGCTCCTTGCGGTGTTGTTCAGCCTTCCCCATCTGGATTCTGCTGCTGCTGGTGCCTGAAACAAAGGAAAATTGACCAGCAGCAGCATGGCATCAGT